CACTGAAATAAGTAGATACCATATTATTGCTTCCCAGTTAAGCTGAGCAAATTGACTTGCCAATAAATATTCGAGGTTAAAATAATGTATCAAGTACCTGAATATTAATAAAATGATTTTGAATTATTTTAATACGAATTACGGATGCGAAACTGTAATTAAGTATTAGCTATGGGAGGCATAATAATATACGATAGAATAAGTTAAAGTGCCCTTAGCTGCTAGAGAGTGTTAAAATATAAAAGCTCAGCTCCGGATTTATGCACCGTTGAATCCAGTTAGTGTTGTTTATATATTAAAATAATTGCAGCAAAAGAAATTTAACTCCATCTATTGCATCATATTTGCTTTAGCACAAAGGTTAAGCAGAGATTCTAGTATCATATCAATCCTAACAACCTTAAAAGTATAATACAAAATAGTAGCAGTCAAATTATTGGTTTGAGGTCCTTTGGCTTGACTTGTAAAAGATATATTTACCCCCGTTTTGGATTAAGGAAAAGAAGTTGGATTTTACGTCAAATGATGAGTAGATCTTAAGTCTCCAATAAATTTCACATTGCTTTTAGGTGTTCTAATCCAGGGTGGATTTTATTTTCGGTCTCGCCTAGGTACCACCTCCAGCGGAACTCGGACATGAGTAGTGCAGGGTAGCCTGGACAGGTAAACGCAACCCCACTGCCACCTATCGAGATTATACACTGCACTGCCAAGGTGCAAGTCCCGCTGCAGGTGTTGATGATACCTAGTGGGTGTCGAAACTACTGTTCACCCTGAGCAACAATACCTTTTAGAAAGTAAGGCTATCTGAAATTCAATGGAAGAATGAGGCCCACTCATTTCATCGTGGGAAAATTCAATATTAGGTGAAATAGAGTGAATACAAATCTACTAGTAGTCTTGAAACCTATTTATGAAACGAAAAATTGATTTATAAAGCTTGGGAGATTAATATTAACAAGTTATTAATTCTCCATTGCGGAGAATCGGGGATTTGTATGCATTCGATGTGAAAAATAACCGGGGCGAACTGCGAGGAAGTGTTGATTAAGAAAATTAATTGATGTCAATTGCATTCAAATCGTAGCTAGAGAAATATTATGTGCGACCAAACATTCTACTAAAGCTTAGGTGGGTACAATTATTCTTTAATAAATAAAAATTCTTAAAAGCATATAATTAAAGTTAGCCATCAAGTTTTGAGACAGCTTTAATTTTCAAAAAATTGGCGATTACAGTACTTTAAAAATAAGACTTTCTTAGCCAAGCATCAATATAACAGATGTAAATAAATTGTAAAATGTAAAATGTGATGTTGAGTGAAAACTCTACGAAACCAAAGAGAGCGTAAGCAATAAATACCAGTAAAAAAATGAAGTGTCAGAGTATAAACAGGGAGGAAATAAGTCAGACGATCAGAAAAATGCATTTAGAAAATAAGAACAGGATTATGTACAAAACATATTTATTTACGGGGATACTTTTGAAAAGAATATGAAATAAAATATTGCAAAATTTGTTACTTTTCAATAATGCCGAGTTAGGCAAAGGCAATCTCATTGAAAAATTTCTGATTTTTTTGTAAAAATTATGGAAAAAGTTAGCAGCCTTAGAGAAGGTAAGTTAGCAAAAAATAAGGGAAACTGAGAATATATATTAGAATATATCCAGCCCCAAATAAATATTCTTCTAAAAAATCAAGACAAAGCCGAAATTATATAGAATAACTATGACCTGGAAGAGGAAAGCATATAAATAAATTGTAGATTGCGTAGATATTTTCTGCATTTATGTCTATTTCAAACTAGCCTCAGGGTATGTACATGTATGAAGAGAGTATCGTTGAAGTTGTTTTATTGAGGCAAAAAATAAATATTGATCAGATAACAGTGTTTCCGAAAACCCAGCCATAGACCAATTGCTGCCTCTGAATTTAAAGTTATTTCGATGAGTGCTCAGGACCAATTGGGCTAACAACATAGTTCAGAGGACGAAGAATTAGCCAATAGAAAATGTGTACAAAGATAGGCAGTTCTGCGATGAGCCAGATAATAGTTTGTATATTTGGTTGGATGGGTCGCTTTTTGCCTAGACATATGCGATTAATACAGTAATCACATTAAAATATGCAAATGCTTTAATTAGAGAAGCAGGTTAGGTGTTCACTAAGTACGCCTGAGCCAAGGCGATGAGATTCTCGAGACTATCGGCCACAGGCAAACCCGCCTCTCTGGCGAGATCTATCAAGTATATACGACTCCTGTTGTGATCGCGCGCAGATGCCGAAGATAGCTTTAGAGGATGAGGCGCACTATCCCCTTTTAAAGCTGCAGTTATCCATGTGGGAGAACTATCAAGGGGAGGGTGGAGCACAGAAGAGGGATAAAAAAGTGATTGCTTACTATTAATTGGTTGACAACCTGGAGAAAGCTGGTTAAGGATGGAAAAAGATTCTGAAAACGAGTTGTTCAAGGCTGATTGGGTGCTAGAGGAAAGGAGAGAGGAGGGCCCTGTTGAATTCTCTTGGGCCAGTTGATCCTGAGTTAAACTGGTGTATACTTGCCGGCCAAATGGCGATTTTGCTTTTGATGAAGCTGAAAGAGAAGATTGCCTGGGTCTGATTGGTCGAATAGGCCGGAGCAAACAGCGATGACTTTTGATAGCACTGTTTGGTATGTCAAGAGTTCGTTGCGAACAAGGTAGTGGCTGAGAGCCATTGAAGGAACTAGCTTCATTATGAGTGGTGAGTGATCCGGGGTTTGGTCTGAAAGTCAGACCGGCTTGATCAGAAGCTGGACTATCCTGGCTGGCAAGGCCAGAGTCAGTGCTAACTCGGCTGCTAGCCAATGTGCTACTTACGCTCCTCACAAATCCAGGACGACATAAAAACGGAATATCTGTGGGCGCGACACAAGTTGTTGAATCAAGATTCTGATAGGGTGAAGTAGGATAACTACTGTTCAGCAAACCAGATGTTGGTGATAGCTTGTAAATTGAAAAAAATATGGTAAGATTTTTAAATAAACAGATATTTACGAATGCATGTGGACTAGCTGAGTTAATATCAAATATAGAGGATTAGGTTTAAGTGAAGTTTAGAAGAAAATTGCTTTCACACGAAGTTTCGGTAATCTTATTTAGAAATATATTGAATATTTCTCTAAAAAAGAGCTAATTTTAAAAAGCAGGAGGTTAAAATGTTCTAAGTATAAGAAATTCTTATCTAAGCATCAATATAATAGAACAGAAGAATTATATTAGATGTATTCAACCTATTTCGTTTAAGGTGATGAAGGACTGGTGTTAGAATTTTCCCACAATTATGAGTAAATCTGCGAATTTAAAGGAAGGCCAGGTTTTTTTCCATATCATATTGTTTGGTAGGACTATCGATGAAGCAGTTATAATTGCTGACAATCGAGTACATTAAATATTTTTCGCTCATAAGTAGGGTTTCGAGACATACGTTTCATATAACAGATTTACTGGTAGTATAGAAGCCTCACTTAAGAACGAAAAATAAGTAATGTAGACTATTCACATAGCAAATATAGCTTTGCTTTATCGACAGTCCCACCAAAAAATAAGATATGAGGAAATGTCTGGCCTTAGTTGAAATTCGCATCTGCTCTGTGAACAAGGGGCGCTCGTGGCAATGTGGCGCGATGGTTAACGAGTCGAGATTACGGGCTGCACTTTCATGATTTGACTGACACTCAGGGTCTTGATAAGGCCTAGACGAGGTCGAAATTGCAGTAGACCTTGAATGAGAACACCTTTTAGGAAAGCACGTCTATGTGAAATGCAATGGAAACGTCAGCTCTACTCATATCAGTGTGGGAAAATTCAACATCCAGTCCTCCACTAGTTTAAATGAAATATGGTGAATTGCTGGTCCATAGTCCGACTCTGGAGACTGTCATGCATATTATGGACTAAGGAAAAGATGCGTTCCTCTAGGTCTTATAGACAATATGACCAAGTTGCGAAAACAAGGTCAAGCAACTACTAGATAAAAATATAGATTCCATAATTGCCTTAGTACAGTATCAATTTTAGCGACTGATGGACCAATGTGAAAAAGAATAGATGGATTTATTGTAGAAGTGGAGGATTTAAGACTGTGCCGAGGTAGATTAATTGTATTTCGACTAAATTTCATGGTATAACAACGTTGATTTTACCTTCATTTTGAGTACATGATGTAAGTTGAAGAAGCTAATAAGTCTATCTCATCATAAGACTCATTTCTTCTAGATCTACTGCTATTT